ACTTTGACACGAGAACTGGATGATTAACTTGTGTCCTCTCTCTTTCTCTGCTGTCTTCAATAGAGCATGCATCATTTTGAACGTGAATTTTCGGAAAAGTAAGCTAATGCTGATTTATCTCTTTAAAGATGCTCTGTTTCTGAATGGGACAGTTGGATGCAAATCTTGAAGTTGCTTAGTATTGGGAGGGAATAGAAGAAAAAAATCTGAATGTTCTTACAGATTATTTTAATGAAATACAGCATCTTTAAAAACTATCACTAAAATTATTTTCTTTGTTCACATCCCATTCTCAGCCAAGTTTTTAATGCTGTTTGCACAGTTGCTGTCACTTTAAATTCATAATTAAGTTTTTGTTTCAATTCAGGCATCAAGTTTACAGCATCTGATTTACTTCCTATTCCTTTTAACACACTCTTTTAACAAAAATGTCCCTGTAAAAACCCTTGGTAAGTTCTTGTTTGAGTGTTCTATTCTTACAACTGCATGAATGAATAAAATGTGTGTTTGCTGGCAGCGTCCTTCAATGTATGTATTGGAAGGGCCTAGTGATAGCTAAGCACTTGTTTCAAATGTTTTTTCTAGTAAATACAGGAAAATATTTCACTGTAGGGCAGAACAGTTTCATCTGTAGATGTAAATGTATATGAATGCATGTGTGTGAACTCAGATTTCTTTTGCACCACTCGTGTCAAGAAGGGAAGGACAGCTTGGGTTGATTATGTAACTGAAGTGAATGGATTTGAAGATTTTTGAAGATTTCTTTATTAACAGGTTCAATATGTAATGCTCACAGCTAGTCAGATGCCATTGTGAACCCTGCATGTATTATGTTTTACAGCAGAGCTCAAGTGTAAGGGTGTAATTCTCTGTTATCAGTTTCCCAAGGGTTTCACTACATGATGTTGTCAGCAGCTCAATTTCAGTGAGTCCTGAGGAATGTAACAATTTTCCAAGAAGAAAGGTGATCTCTGCCCTTACTTCCCTGTCTTTTCTACTCTTGTAAAATAACCAGACCCAAATTTGAAGATACCACATGGAATCTTCATACTAATACTTAGTGATCCAAGCATTTTGTGTCTTTTTTGCCCTCTGTGTGTCAAACCTGTGCCTTCTTTCACCATGTTACCACTGTATTTGTATTCCCTGGCCACTGCTTTTGTGGTCATTCCCTATTGCATCTTGTACAACTGCTTGCATAGCCTCTTTCAGCCTCCCCTTGCAATTCCAGACAAAAATCTTGTCTTTGTTCTCTGCAGTTCTTGCATTTCTTCGATGCCATTTCTTTTGTGATTAGCTGCTCTTGGTGCTTTCCCAGCAGTTTACCTGATCTCTTTGGAGGTAGGCTGGTGCACCAGTCCTGCAGGGTCCTGCTCTGACCACTTCAGCCACTAAATGGGAACTTGGACTGCTCTTGGTCTTGTTCTTCCTATGGCCAAGTGCCAAGTTTTTCTTGCCTGGCATCCATCCACAAGAGAAACAGGACTCTAATGCTGGGAAAGTTTTGTCAGTATTTCTAACAGTAAATTGATGTACATCTTTGGCAAGTGTAAAAAGCAGATTTGTGTAAGTTAGAAGTCCCCGGTATGCAATTTATTTCAGTTTGTGCTGCCATTGTGTGAAGTTTTGGTTACCTCAGAAAGAAGTTGATTCACATGCAACAGGCAGGTTAAATTGTTTCAGTTGTTTCAGATCTCTGGTGTTTCTATTAGGACTTGAGTATTTCCTCTGGAAGGCAAGAGACTGAAGATGAGCTCAATGTGTACTTCAGTGCTTTTGTTTTTACAGAAGGCTTTCATGCCAATGAGAATTTCTCCTGAAGAGCTGGAAGTGCTACAATCACAGCTCATGTTAATGTACACTGGCAAAATTTGATGCTTTAGGTGAATACTCTGCATTTTGAGCTTGCTCTCATATGGGAAAAGTCTTTCTTCAAAGACTGGTACAGACAGAAAATGAGGGAGTTTTGAATCATGTCTTTCATCTAGTACAACTGCTTGTTTTAATAAAAGCAGTTCTGTTTTTACTGTTACTTGTTAGGCTAAAAACAATCGTTGATGAGGAATTGAGAGACAAATAGAGCACAGAGAACTTTTGTCTGCTTTTTTTCTGTAGTTGAGCCTTATCCTCCATCAAATCCCTTTTGAGTCTGAGTGGCACAATGTTACATAATTACTTACTATTTGCTCACTTCCACCAAGCAGTTCTACTTCAGGAACAACAGCCTCTTGGTTGCCTTAATGTTGTTTTACTTGCCCAGTATCACAGTTCTTGCCACTTACCAGTATATTCCTCTTTGTAGCTCAGGGCTACTGGAAGCAAGTGTTAGATGCCATTTGTCTCTTCAGTCTTCCTATGGCATAACTCATGATCTCCATGAGGAGTTCAAATTCACTGCTGAGCAGTACCAGGATATTAATCATTATGCCCCTACTCCTTCCAGAATATGAGACAGGATAGGCCCTTATTATTTGACTTGCACAGCAGTGATGGTGCAATGTGCAGCAGCAGAGCTGCACAAGATCAGGGTGCTTGGGAGAGTGCCTGGGGTAAATGAGGGAGGCCACTTGCCTGGATCTGAACTGCCAGGAAACAGCTCCATGCAGGCCTCACTGCTGGACCAGCTGCATGTTCCACTGTGGGCTCTGGCTTCCCAGGGAGTCAGGACGTGAAGGCTCAGGTTGGATGAGAAGCAGAAAGTGGACGTGGCTGGCATAGAGAGCAAGGGACAGAGTACAAAGGTGGGAACAGGAGAGGCAGGCTGGAGGTGTGTGTGACAGTGTTGTGATTCATTCAGTCTGTCAAAACAACCATGCGTTACAACATATTTGGAGAAAGTCAAACAGAACTTTGGAAGTGTAAAACACTTCTAGAAAACTCTATCTGCAGTTAGTATGCTAAAAATGAAGTATAATCTGGCCAAGCAAAATGGTCATCAAATACTACAGTGATGTGGTTCTTCATTCATTGGAATGTAAAGTGAGTTACATAAGAACAGGTACTAAAATTTGCTTCCGGTCTTCGTTACTGTTCATGTCCCACAGAGCAAACTGCCTCACTAGGGACAAATAGGAGAAGCTGAACCTGGAAGTTCAGCGATCTCTATTTTCCTTGGTGCAAGATCACATGTGAGTCACGTTTTGCATCTGAGTCCTGAGGGCCCCCAGGCCTCATTTCAGAGGTATCTCAGATGACATGACTCACCTGCAGATAGAGGGATTTGATCACTTTGGCATTTTCCATCTGTTCTGTTCTTCACACTCCACTGGCATTCAAGGGATGACGGGACTAGTGCAGGACTGACCAAGTCCGGCCAAGCAGCTGCAGGCCTCTGGGGCAGGACATCCCTGGCATAATCAAACTCCATCTTCTCTCCCCAACTTCCCAGGAGCATCGTCCATACCCCCAGCACCGCCCCCGCGCCCCCGCCACCAGCAGCTCCCCCCCCGAGCACAGAGGCGCCCACGGCGCGGCCCGACGTCAGCGCAAGCCGAGGAGCCTTGCTCAGCTCCATCCAAAACTTCCAGAAAGGAACTCTGAAGAAAACACAGACGTGCGACTACAGTGCTCCCAGGATCAGCTGAGGCCACTGGTCACTCCAGGATTCAATTCCCTCTCCCCCTCCTGTGCTGACCCTCCTGACCAGCAACTGACCCACCAGCACACAGCAGCTGCAGCTCCCGTGACCTGGTTTCAGCTTTCCTGAGCAGCAGCACTGCCCTGCCACGCTGGGATAAGTACTCTGGTCTTTACTTGGCTGCAGGAACTGTGTTCTCTAGCTACAGCTTCAGGAGTACAGCAACTCCTATATAGCTGAATAAAATAATCTGAAAATAGGAATGACCATGATGATGGTAAATGAATGCATTTTTCCTAGCTCCATTCCTACCCCATTTTTCAAATTACAGGAATGTAGTTTTAGTCTGCTCAGTTTTTCAACTCTTTTCATGCACTTGTAACTCATCTTAATTCTTGCTGCATGGAGTCAACAATTTGTTTTACATAATCCAACCCTTTAAACATACTGCACAGGTGAGGGAACTGGAGAATTAAATCTTATTCCCACCATGTTTCCTGGTGGAGTTAAAATGCTGTCTCATGAAGCTTGTTTAAATGGACATCCTACCTGCAACTCTAGGGGAAAGTGTTTTTAAATGAGGAAGCAGTTGAAGTGGGAGGTTATAGGGCACTGGGATGTTATTGTTGATTTAATTAAATGAAAAGTTACTTCAAGTTAATTCTATCATTTAAACTTTATTGAAAGATCCTTTTTGATTTAAAACCTTAAACAAATTGCACTTTAAAGGATTATAGATAATCCATTTTTTTAAATTCAAGTACATCAGTGTTTGTTACTATGCAGAGAATGTCTGTACAAAGTTTCATGTAACCTGTGATATTCAGTCATTTTTATTAAAATGTTAATGGAATTCGTTCAGCAGCATGCGGTGGCTATGTTCTGGTGGGATTCAACGTCCAAGCCAGACCTCCCAAGAACTGAACAGCACCTCTGCTAAAGGAAATACCCTGGGGAGTACTCCTGGCTCTCAGGAACAGGACCCAAGCTCTTCTGTCTGCTTACAGAAGATCCTCTCCCCCCATTTACCTGAGGGGCAGAGCAGACGCTGCTGCACAGCTCCTCAAGGCAGCTTTCCCTCTGTACCAGAAGCTCTGAGGGAAGCCTGGCAGAGCTCCCTGGGATGCAGTGATCTCCAAAAGGCTGCTCTGAATGTGTCCCAGCTCTTCATACACAGTCCACACCTCCTGCTTAGGCTCAGTGCAGCTGAATAAACCAGTGCAGCTGAATAAACCAACTCATTTTGCACTGCAAGAACTATAGTAAGAGTGTGCTGTTGTCAGCCCAGGTGGGGAGTTAAAAAAAAAAAGAAACCACAAAAAACATAAATAGTAAAAGCAAAGCATCTGGGCATTTTTTTAAAATCACTGTTACATAGCAGCTAGTAAAGAAAAACTAGGTATTGTTTCCCATCACACAGTGGAAAGGTTCAGGATCTTTATTTCAGCTCTTGTACAGAAGCCTTTCTGCATGTGCAGAGTGCTCTTCAAACCAGACACAGCCACCATCTCTTAACCCAGCCCCTGGGCTGCCACAGCCTCTGCTCAGAGCTGCAGTGAACTGCTGCACTGACAGGCTGGGCTCCAGTGATCAGCCTGATCATTCCTCTTTAAGGAGCCTTGCAGCCACAGGCTCCTGCAGCTGTACAGCATTCAAGGCCTGCTCTTGCTCTCTGCAGCTCTGTACTCAATCACTGCTGCAGCAGCTTCAACACAGCTCCTCTGGTACTTACAAGGCAAGCAAAACCAGAGGATTTTTCCTTCTCTCTGAATTTAGAAAAGGGTTTCTCCACAAACAGTTGCACTAACCCGGCTGTACTGTTGAACAAACAAGCATTACCACATTGTTGCATACAGGAAGTGTGGCTTGGGGGGTAACCCCATATAAATATTTTGGGAGGTCACTATACTTTCCCCACTGTACAAAAGATCATGGAGCTTATACAACAGAAATTATGCATACAACGTGCCCAACACCAAGAATGCCTTGTAGAGCAGGATTTTAAAACTTCTATTTACAATTTATATATTCAAAGCTTTTTTCACTGCAAATACTATATCCTTCACTTGAGGTATGCTGTTATCCTCTAAGATCTTTGCGTAAGGCATGGGGACATCAGCACCGGTGACACGGACAGCTGGAGCATCCAAGTAGTTAAAGGCAGGTCCTGAAACAGAAGACAGTGTCAGGTTGCCAAGCACTATGCTTTTATCTTGATTCAATTTCTGAATCTGACTCTAAACAATTTTGTTCCTGTGGCTCTAATATTCCAGAAAGCAGTGTTCTGGCTTGTTGGTGTTCACGCACTCTGGGGTTTGGTCATCACCCTGTGAAAATCTCTAGAGTAAGACAGCACCAGCTCATCTGATGTAACCTCTAACTCTGCTTTTGCCTGGCTTCATCAGGAATAATCAGGATTTAGAGTAGGGAATGAGATCAATGTACTGTGAAACTGAGTACCTTCCATGATCCTGGCACAGATTTCAGCTCCCACTCCAAACTGGGGCCAGCCTCCTTCCACAGTTACCAGATGGTTTGTCTTGACCACGCTGGCTTCCACGGTTTCGATGTCCATCGGTCGAATGGTTCGCAGGTTTATGACCTGGGGCAAGGGGCAGTGTGAGCCTGGCTGTGGCCTCAGCCTGTCAGCCACCACTGCCTGGGGACAGGGCCCCTCAGCACTTTCAGCTGTTCTGACTCCAAAGACAAGACTTGATAAAATTTCTAACTCAGAAATGTGAAAGGCACATGCTGTTAGGGCACTTGTAAGTATTAAGACCCTCGTAGGTAATACACTGAAGTTTTGCAGAGCTTGAACAAGAAGATGGCTTTTTTCCCCCCACTTCAGTGAAAGAGAAAAGTAACCCAAACCCCACTCACCTCACACTCTACACCTTCTTTAGAAAGTACAGCAGCTGCTTCCAAACAATGGCCAACAGGTCTTGAGTGTGCCACTAATGTAACATGAGTTCCTAGAACAGAACCAAGTGTTAGAAAAATCCTCTTGAGATTTAAAGCTTTTTTCTAGACCTCAGGCTCCTTTCAAGGTAGCATTAGGATTCACTTGCAAATTTAAGGTTCTTAGGTTTGTTTGAAATAATGAGCCCAGAATTTATCATAGTATGAAGAGAGGAAGGACCATGTTAAGACACAGATTTTGCCCTTGAACTCAGGGAACTGAAGAGGTATTTAATACAGTTTTCAGATTATCCTATTCAAATGCTCATATAATTCAGAGGTAAATTATGAACAAGTGGGCTGCAACACCACAGTGATCTCTTTTTGCATTTTTGACCAAAATCACATACTTAGGTGAGGAAAAAACTGTTTCAGCCATCACCTACCCAATCTGTACTACAGAACAAATCCTTTATGGAATCCTTTAGAAGGGTATAGTTTAAGCTGAGATAGGGACAATCAGGTAATACTTCCTTGTAAGGGCAGCAGAACATGAAACCACACTAACGGATAAAAGAATATTTGAACACTTAACATTTGAAATACTTTTCTGTGCCCTGTGATAGCAGTACCCTGAATAGATGAGAGGTTAAGAAAAGTCTCCAAGCATGTCAGTTAATAGAGAAACAAATGCATTCTCAGCTTACCTGGCTTTTCTATTTTAGCTTTCCCAATGGGAATAACAAATTCCTTTGACTGTGCCTGTTCAGACATTTCAAAGGGAACACCATAGAGTAGTTCACTTTCCAGCATCACAACTAGAAGGAAACACAATTGGATTAGTGTGTACACCTGCAGGCACAGGCCTGCACTGAGCATTAACAGTCCTGCAGCTCAAGACAGTAAACCCACACAACAAGGGAGTGAGGACTATGTCTGCAGAAGGAATTTAAAAAAAAGTAAATAAAGTCTTTACTTCAATAATGAATTATTTAAAAAACTTCTACAACTTCTCTGAAATTAGGTGAGCTCTTTTACTTTTATGTAAAATAAATATATGTAATGTAAAATAAATATAATAAATGTCATGTTAAATAAAAATAATTTTATTTTACATGACAATAAAATCACTAGTTTTAGAAAAGTCTCCTACTTTTAATTACTGTTTGTGAAAATAGAAAGTCAAAGGTTGCCCTGCTCTTGAATAAGGACATTCTGAATTTATCATCTGAATTCCATGGTCTGTAAAACTGAGTTACACAGGCACTATATGTGCAGGAATATAATAATTCTCCTAACTCATCTTCACCCTTTTTAACCCTTTTATGATAGATTTATAAATGCTTCCAGGTTTCCTGGTTGATACCAAACTAGCTCTAAAATTGCACCTGGCAGCAGCACAGAATCAGTCCAGGGGACTATTAGAGAAACCATGAATCCCTCTGTGTCTTTCTGTGTACCTACAACTGCAGTAAGTCAACCTTGAGTGCTTTATGGTTTAACCAATCCTTGTTTTTGTGGTGCAAACCAGACATTCGTTAGGACTGAGTGCCACAGCTACGAGCCGCTCGTGCTCACCTGGATTGTCATCCCGGATGGATGCTTTCAGCAGCCCTTTGGCATCCTCTGAGCTCCAGGGGCTGACGACTTTGAGGCCGGGGCAGTGTCCGTACCAGGCTGCGAAGCACTGCGAGTGCTGGGCGGCCACGCCCGCCGAGGCGCCGTTGGGGCCGCGGAACACGATGGGCACCGAGATGGAGCCGGCGGACATGTAACAGCTCTTGGCTGCGGAGTTGATCACCTGATCGATCGCTTGCATGGAGAAGTTGAACGTCATGAATTCACACACCGGTCTCAACCCTGCCTATTGAATGTATCGAAATGTGGTTTTTGACATAAAAACGCGATATATGTTTTTTGACGTAAAAACAGCTTCATTTTTAAAACCAGATGTAGAGGAATGCAAATGTACAAACCATAGCAGCACCGACAGCGATTCCTGCAAAGCCCATCTGAAAGAGAGGGAAACCAAGGGATGAGGACCAGGGAGCAGCTGATGGAGGGATCACCAGGGCAGGAGAGAGGGCAGCCTCACCTCGGATATCGGGGTGTCGATCACCCTTTTGTCCCCGTACTTCTTCCAGAGACCCCTGGAGATCTGCAGGGCAGGAGAAAGGAGTCAGGGCCCGCCCGAAGCCCCTTCCCGGGCCGCCAACGTCTCCCCCGTACCTTGTAGGCGCCATCGTACTGTGCCACCTCCTCGCCCAGCAGGAAGACGCGCTCGTCCCGCTCCAGCTCCTCATCCAGCGCCTGGTTCAGCGCGTCCCGCACCGTCACCTGCGAGACAGCGGCAGGCGCGCTGAGCGGGGACCCGCCGGGAGTCACCTCAAACCAGGGGCGAAGTCACCTCACCGCCCGCCCGCCCGCCCCGGGGCCGGACCCTTCCTGAGGGGCGCGAGCCCCTCTCCGGGGGCAGCCCGCCCCGCTACCTGTATGGCGGCGGGCGCGGAGAGGCGGAGGCCCCTGCGCTGCTGGAGCCGCTGGAGCGGGGTCCCGGCGCTGCGGCCGCGCGGGGCGAGGCGGGCGCACAGCGCCAGGTGCCGCAGGGCCGCCGCCATCTTGCCCGTGTCCTCTCGCCCTGGGCCGCCCGGCCCCGCCTCCCCGGCTCTCGCGAGAGCGCCCGCGGCGCGCGGGCGGCGGCGAGAAGCGCGCGGCTTTCTTGCGCCACTTCCGGCACCGGGGCCGTGCGGGGACCCCCGCGGGGCCGCGCGTGGCGCGCGCCCGAACGCCCCGGCCGGGCCCGCGCAGCCCCGCGGGGACGCGCCCGCCGGGACGGGCCGGAAGCGCCGGGCGGCCCC